TTTGTACATGAAGTTTAACATTAATATTTACAATTAAAACATCCATCATATTAAATATTATTTCCATCTTCGCATTCTTCATTTCCTGTAATAATTCCATCTCCACAAATATCAGGACAAGGTAAAGTAGTTGATTAATCACAAGTTAAACAATGAGCTGGACATTAAAATTAACAATTATAGCATTTATCATCAAGAATTGTATTATTATCTTCACATTATTCATATCCTTTTATTTATGAATCTCCACAAATGGGTTGACATTCTCCATAGACTAAATTAAATCCAGAATCACAAGAAGTACAAGTAATAGTATGCCATATTTATTAATTATTATTACATTATTTATAACATTGACTTAAAGATGCATCTTCAGTATTTGGACAATCTATAATTATCATTATTATATATACTTGTACAAATATTACTTAATTCATAATAACCAGGTGCACATACACATTTTAACCCTTTTAATATTCTATTTAAACTTAGATCACATGTTAAACAACCATCAATTGTTGTTCTAAAGCAACTTAAGCATGATGAATGACAAAAAGAACAAGTTTTTATTGCATCTTAATAATATGACCCTGTTGGACATCTACATGTTGATCCTACTTTTTCAATACTAACAATATCATTGCAGGTTAAACATTAATCAGAAGTAGGTCCAATACAAGTTTTACAAAATTAATGACATAGCTAACACTAGGGATTTGATACAATAGGATAATATCCATCCATACAATTACATTACCCATTTGATAATTGTCTAAAATTACTATTTAAACATTCTATACAATAAGTAGAACTTAAGCATTAATTGCATTCAATAGGACAATCAAAACATTGATTTGATTCTTCATATTGATTCATTTTGCAAATACATCCTAATTTAGTTTATATAAAAGTTGGTTAGCATGTTTAGCAATCTAATTTAGATGTACATGTTAAACAAGATAATGGACAATCTAAACATCTAATAGAATCCTTATCATAATATTAATTAACTAAGCATTCTGATTAAGAAAATCTAACAATATTAGCATCATATGTGCTGTTCCATGAAGTACATGTAGTTGAATCGGTACATTACAAACAATAAGGTTTACAATTATGGACAGCAATATAATAATTAAAGAATCCACAATAGGCTTTAATAGGTTCATTATTTGAACCTAAGCATTCCCAAGTCAGTGTTAAGGTATTTGAATTATGAATGATTTTTTCATAAACTTTATCGTATTTTGAACCATCAGGATAATTTGAATAAAAATTTGCATTTGATTTAGAAACTGTTGTATTAGTATTTTCAATTGTATATATAAATCTCCCATCTGAAGGGAATGATGGACCGTAAAGTATATAAAATGCAATAGTGACACTATGATGTGGAGATATTATATTATGAACTCTTTAGAATTTAGCTTAGGCCCATACAAAAGGCCCTCCAAAGACTCTAATTCCTTAAATATATGAATAATAGATATCTGATCCTTTTAAAAAGTTTGTTCCAGTTTAAGAGATTAAAGTATATTATGAATATTATCCAGGGTCGGTGGCAGCATTTATATATTCTTAAATCAAATATTAAGAGTCTAAATAATATAATAATAAGATACAAGGTGTTTCATCATCGTAATCATAACAATAAGAACCACTTAATCTCTAATTTGGAGATTGGCAACTACTTATGCAACTACCGTCTCGATAAAAATAGAATCCACTTATACAAGTCTTACATTTAAATGATACTTCACACAAAGAGCAATATTAAGAACAATATCCTGAAGTAATTTAGAATTAAGACATTCCCCATCCTGCTGTGTCATCACTAATCTTTATAATTTGATATTTACGTATAATTGCCTATTGCTGAAAATAGAAATGAATATTTAGGAATGTCAACATATGCAATTAATTCATATCTTATACTTGAAGAATATGTTGAATAAGATCCCTAGTTTATAACTTAAGAGATTTTTAATTTATGAGTTTGAATTCCAGAGGTATTTCTATAAATAGATCCATAATAAGTATTATTAACCTTAAACTATATTCCACAATTAATTGGAATATCATTATAAGTAACAATTGAAATTTTTAATCCAATTAAATAGGTTGCATAAGAATAAGTTGATAACCTATTGAAATATCTATAGATGCCGGAATTAAACTTAAATACTCCATATGTATATGAATTAACTGTAATAATAGTTGGAGATGTATCTACATGCAATTGATCATATATTATTGACCATTTTAAATTTTCAGTGTTAGTAATAGGTAATGTCAAAGAACCCTATTCTATATTGGAAACTAGATTATTTAATTTATAATAATTACTTGGATAACTTTAACAAAATCCTTTTGAATATAATGGAGAGTAGATTTCACAAATATCTTTGCATCCTGAGTTCTTCCAATAATATTAATTAGATGGACATGGTGGACATATGTTGTTTGTTGGGATACCATAATAACAAGCTGTACATTCATTGTATTTAGGACCTGTGCATTAACTACATGATGGATAACATTGTGGTTTAGAGACATAAACATTTCTAAGAGAAACCAATCCTTAATTTGTATTGGAGGATGTAAAATTAATTTAGCCAGATATTGTTCCTGGTAATACAAGTGAAAAATTCAAAGTTTTAACTTCAAATGGAAGGGTATCACAAAATCCAGTTGTCATTGTATAAGTAGTAGGTGATTTGTAGGGATATGAATATGTAAAAGTTCCTATCATAAATTAAATAGTTTGAGACGACCATGTACCTTAAAAATATAAATCCATAGACATCCAATACCCATCCATGAATGAGTAATTAAAATAATTTTGAGCAGATGGATAAGTTTTAGTTAGAGTAATGTAGCTTGTAGCAGGAGTTATACAAGTGATAAAATTTGCAGTAGTTTAGGTTTATGGCAATAGAAACGATCCGGCATATGAATATGCAATTGATCCAGTGTTTACTGTAAATTTCTAATCATAGTTTAAGAAACTATTTTAGGTTTGCCATTATGAATTTGATTACTCAAATAATCCCACTAGGATTAAAATTATAGAAAAAGGCATTAATTAAATATTTGATTTAATTAAAAATATTCATTAATGCGTAAATGACTTATATAATATTGTTTTCTTTTATTCTTCATGGTAAATTATCGAATTATTTGGCTTTTCATTTATTTGAAATATGAGTAGTGCGAGTAATAAATTAGAATTGAAATTATAAAAATATCATAATAAAAATATATTACAATAAATTCATATTAGATAAGATGAGATTAAACAATTTTTATTCTTATAAAATTGAATTTTTAATAAATTGATGTAAATATAGCATAAATATAATCAAAATATTAAAATAAATGAGTATTTAACACTTAGTATTGTAAGTGATAGAGTGGCATTTGATTAAGTATATTTTTTAGTTATTTTTATTACAATTTATTATATGATGTCTGTTGTCATGGTTTATTAAAAACACAACAATAATTGAATAATATAAAACATGATTAAATTAAATTCTTATATCTGAATCAGATATATAAATCTTAATTAAAATTTAAAAAATATTTTATGGATCGTCTTAACCCATCTTCAAAAGATTGTATAGTTCCACTAATTGAAGAAAATTCTCCCTGTCTTTGTAATAAATAATATTTATAAATAGAAATAAACAAACCAGAGATTGATCCTCACTTTTTATTACCACAATTTACATAAATGATGTAGAATCCAGACTTCTTTCTTTAAACTGTTTAATTAGAGTAAATAAAGCAAATGTAGTCATCATTCTATTCATAAATGAATAACATCCCACTAATTTAAGAAGAACCTAGAGTTATGGATTTGTTTACCCAACAACTTTTATAATAATAACTTATGTTAAATGCAGCATTACTAAATCAATTCTAAGTAAAATAGATTATTAATTAGGGTATTGAAAATATCAATTATAGTCAAACAAAAGATCTCGGGGATAATAAAATAAAAAGAAAACATATTAAAAAATCACATAATCCTTAGTTTAATAATGGTATTTTTATATTTTTAAATTAAAGGTCATTGGAGTGCTTAAGAACATTAAGTCTATTTAACATTTTTATAATAACATAGAGATGTTATGGAAAGTTCAGAGTTAAAAAAAACAAATAAAATTTTTAAACTCATGTCTGATATTATTAAGTCTAGATCTCCTTCATAATGTCGTTCTCATCATTAAAAATTCAATCCTTATTCAAAATATTTAGTAAATGTAAGTTGCATTATTTAAATTAGAATAATATTGTAAGAAGAAAGATGAAAGAATAAATGTTGAGTGATTCTAAACAATAAAAATAATCTTAATAAGAGAATGAAAATGTTGAGCAATCTTAAGATTCAAATTAAAAGTAGTTCTAATAGTAATAGCAAGTTTTGAATTAAAAAATGGAATCTTAATAATAATTAATGGAATCAAATGTGAGAGATGATCAATAATAACTTAGTGGTTAAGAATGATAATTTATCAAATAGATAATGTTATCATTAATGATAATTTATAATAGATATTAAATATTTATACCCAAAATATAATAATTACTAAAACAACTATTTTCTCTGACAATTAGAATAATATAATAATTATTATAATAGATTAATCCAATTTCTTTGTTAAATCTTTTCATTATAAAGGAGTAATAAAGAAAGTATTTATTCTAAATTTATGAAATTAAACTAATCAAATTAAATCAAGTGCACTGCGAAACCAAACATCTAGAAAATAAATAATGTTTCAATTTTAATATGATTTCATTCTTGAAATTTACAGTAAATTATTTTTTTGAAAAGAAAATAAAAATTAAATGAAAGATTCTATAGTAATTAAGAAATATTATCTCATATTTATGATTATGTTATATAATATCACTACATTAATATATACCATTTATAAATAATTAAGTAATATTATTTTACTAAATCATTATAAAATAATAGTTTAAAATAAATTATTAATACTAAATAATATATGTTTGCAATACTTAAATTAAATTATGATAGTCAATTCAGGAAATCTGATAGTCAATATACGTGATGATATTATGTCTAGATATGAGAAAATCAACTAAATAGGCTAGGGCACATTTGGGAAGGTATACAAAGTGAAAAATCAAGCCAATGAATTACGGGCATTAAAGATAATAGCTAAAAAGGACTGTACAATTTAGAATGAAATTGAGAACATGTAAAAATTAGATCATCCAAATATCATGGCTGTTTATGAAATATCCTAAGATGAATAGTTCTATTATATTATTAGTTAATTATGTGATGGAGTTGAATTATTTGATGAAATTCATAAAAGAATTAAGTCAAATAAACCATTCTCAGAAGAGGAGGTTAGATTTATATTTAAATAAATTCTAAGTGGGATTGCATATGCACATGATAAAAATATTGTTCATAGAGATATTAAACCAGAAAATATTTTGATTGATCCTACTGATTAACATATCAAGATAATTGATTGGGGTTTAAGTAAAGACATTACAAATATTGATTTTATCAAATAAAGAATAGGAACTATTGATTATGCAGCACCAGAAGTTTTGTTAGAGAAAGGTTATGATAAAAAATGTGATTTATGGTCTTGCGGTGTCATTTTATATATATTATTATCTGGAGAAACTCCCTTTCCTGGTTAAAATACAAATGAAATAGAGAAAAAAATAATATCTTGGAAATTCAATATGAAATAGAAGATATGGAAAACAGTCTCAGTAGAGGCTAAAAATTTATTAAAAAATTTATTATAATATAACCCTACAAAGAGGTATAGTGCTTAAAAAGCTTTAGAAAGTGAATGGATTTAAAAGAAAAGTGAAGTAGGTTCTAAAGAAATATCTACTAAGGAGATGTAGTTTAGACTTTAACATTTCTCAAATTTTCGTTGTGAAAGCAAATTGGTTTAGGCTACACTTCATCTTATGATTCAATAAAATTTAACTTAAGAATAATAAAGATAATTGAGGAAAACTTTCTAAGAATTGGATAAAAATGGTGATGGTAAATTAAGCATGGAAGAATTGTAGGAATATTGTTAAAATGGAATTGATATTAGAGAATTATTTAGTAGAATAGATACTGATAAGAATGGTTTCATAGAATTTACTGAATTTTTAACAGCAGCTGTAGATATGAAGAAATTAGTTTCTGCTGATTAACTTAAGCAAGCTTTTTAATTATTAGATTTAAATGGGGATGGATTTTTAGAAATTGAAGAGATTAAGAAAATGTTTAATGGTAAAATTTAAGTTTAAGAAGAACAATAATGGGATTAATTACTTTTAGAAATGGATGAAAATAGAGATGGTAAGATATCTCTTGAAGAATATTAAGAGAGTATAACTAAGTTTATTGTTTCTTAATAGAATACTTCTGAAATTCAATCATTAAATCAAGTTTAAGAGTTTGAACCATCTATTACTAAAAAAGTAAAAGTAAATGAATCACCTTACAAATTAAGAAATAGAAAATGTAATTGATTCATACTTAATTTGAGTTTCTAATTTATATTAAACTGCTAAATTATTATTTTAGGAACTTCCTCATATATTTATAATTAGAATTATATAATATTATCATATAATATTAAGATAAAATTATTTGTTTAGTGAATGTAATTTATCATTTTAATTTTCAAATTAATGTTAAAGAATCTAACATTAAGATATTGGTATATCAATAGTAAAATCCTCTCTTATTATATTTTATTTTATCAATTCTTCAATTGAACATATTGTTCTTTTATGTAAAGGAATAGATTAACCATGAGATTGAATTGATTTTTATTTTAATTATAAGAATTGTTTCAATTTAACAAATTCAAAATTAAACATTTCTCTAAAACTATTTAATCCTTTTTATTCATTTAAGATTTTTCTATTATTTCTCATAATCTTTTCAATATCAATCAAATCATCTATTTATATTTAAATAGTAAAGCAAACATATTTGTTATTAACAATAACATTTTTAGATTCCTTAAGACTTTTTACTTTAAATGTTGCATATGTCTCCTCAAACAATTCTTTAATTGCATTTTCTTCTGTATTTAATCTTGGTTCTAATTTACCTCCTGCTTCTGTAAAGAATATTCCACCTCTTCCAGTACTACTTAACAATAATAGATAAATCTCCTATTTACATTCAATAAAGATCATCACTCCAGAACCATTAATTTTTTATACTTACATATTTAATTATAGATAATATTTTCATAATACTATTCAATTATCAGTCCAAGAAGGTTTTCTCTTTTCTACAAATGCACTCATTCCTTCTTTTCTATCTTAAGTTGCAAATGTTGAATAGAATGCTTTTCTTTCATATTTCACTCCTTCTCTTAAACCAATATTTTCTGCTTCATTTATGGTATCCTTAATTAATGCAGCAACTGGTCTATAATAATCATTTATAATAAAATTACTTGCTAAATGATGCTATTTTTTCAGCTACTTTTAATGTCTCTTCAACTAAATTTGACACTGGTAAAACTTTGCTAACTAATCCATAAGATAATGCTGTTTATGCATCTATGAATTCTCCAGTTAATGTCATTTCCATAGCTTTTGATTTACCTACTGCTCTAATTAATCTTTGAGTTCCTCCACATCCTGGAATCTAATTTAATCATTATATATATTACTGTTCCAAGAGTAATTTCAGGTAATCCAAATTTAGCATTTTCTCCTGCATAAATAATATCACACATCATAGCTAATTCAAATCCTCCACCTAAAGCATATCCATTTACTGCTGCAAGAATAGGTTTTTTAATATTGGTCAAATTTTCCCAAGCTAAAGATAATAAATGTTTTTACATGCAAGCATTTAAATGTTTTAAACTTATGGAAATGATTTATCTTACATTTCTTTAATATCTGCTCCTGCTGCAAATGCTTTTTCATTTCCTGTAATAACAATTGATCCATATTCAGGATTAGAATCAATTTCCTAAGTTACTTAGTTTAATTCTTTAATTAATCCATCACAAAGAGCATTCATAGCTTTAGGTCTGTTGAATTAGATCAATGCTACCTTTCCCTTTTGTGTAACATTAATGAAATTGTATGTACTAAATCTGAAAACTAATTTTGTAAACATATAATTTATTTTATAAAAGAACTTATATTAGAAATGTTATTTATTGTTTTAATGTTAAATTAAACTTATATCAATAATTACCATCTAATTATTTTCTTAGATTTTCTAATTCTCTATTTAATCTCTCGATCTAACCGTTTTTATCTATTATTCTAAATTATATTATTTAAATTTAATTACTATTTATTAAGATCAGAATTCTCTTATCCTCTCTTTCTAAAATTATCTAATTCATTTTCAGCTCTACCCAATTTATCATTTAATTTATTGCATTCTCCACCTAAGAATCTAACCTAAAATAATGATATTAAAAAAAAATACTTTCTCTTATAATATTCTTAATTTCTCAAGTTCTTATTAGTTCTATTTAAGTTAATTATCTAAAGAATCTCTTTCTATACTTCTAAAGGGAAATATAAATATATAAATTACAATTGATCAATATTCTAATTAGATTTTTAAATGTCAGCAATAAGAACTTCATGTTATCTCTTTAAAGTATCTAAAGCATCTTTATCATTTAATAAATGATTAACTTATTCTTTTAATAAACGTTCTCTAGATAATTTATAAGATAAATAAATTACTATTCTGATAATTATTGAAGTTATTCACTTAATTTGGTTATTTCATTGTTAGCAATTTAGAGATTCTATTTTAAATTATTATTTTCTTCTGTCTTTTCAGCTAATTATGCAGTTAATCTTTCTTGATTGGTTTAAGCAAATACTAATTTATTTTCAATTTCTCTTAATTTAGCTTATAATTCTCTAGCTTCAGTAGCTTAAGCTTCTAATTTACTAATTTTTTATCTTGCATCATCATATAATTTGCTTTTTTCTTTGAATTCTCTTAAAATTCTTTCATTATCATTTCTAAATTAAGTTAATCCTTTTTCTAAATTTTAAAGTTTATCTTGAAGTGTTCTAGTATCTTAAACTTAAATTTCTAATTATTATTTTCCTTAAAGCATATCTTCATTTTCTTTATTTAAAATATTAATTCTATTTAATAAAACAGCAATATAATCTTCTGCAGATTTTAATGCATTTTAAGATATTAATAATTAATTGTTCAATTAATCTAATTCAAATTATTTTTATCTTAAATCTTATTTAAGTTTATCAATTTCTGTAGTATCAACTTAAACAGATGTTTTTTCAATACGTACTTCTTTTGTGATGGTATGTTTTGGTGATGATTATCTATTAACAGTTACTTAATTTTCTAAATCAGATTTTTAAGATTCTAATCTATTAATTTCTTCAACAGCATTTTATAATTTTCTTTCAATATCATGTAAATTTTATTCTTAAGTTTTTAATCTTGCAATTTCATCATTTAATTTTTTAATTTATTCCTTTTAATCATCTGATTCTTTTAATTTATTAATTATATCATTTTACAATCTAACAATTTCATTATTCAATAATTCAGCTTATTTTTCTCTCTCTTAAATTGAAGCCTATAATGCTGATATATTCATTAATTCAATATCTTTAAATTATAATTATAATAAAGCTTCATTAAGTTTATTAGTAGTTTCATTAATTCTCTTATCTTATTAATCACAATATGTTTATAATGCTTTCATCTCACCTAATTAATGATTTAAGGATATGATTGTATTATTTTATTATTATAATTACTTAAGTCTTTCTTTTAATAATTCATTAAGTTTCACTATTTCATCTTACATCTATTTCATTTTATTTAATAAATCTTCAATTTATTATTCAAAGAATTTCTTTTCAATTTCAAGTGATCCTATTTATCTTCTTAATTTTTCTAAATCTTAATTCTTTAATTTTATAATATTCTTCATTCTATCAATTTCAGCTGAAAATAAAGCACATTTATTCTCTAAATCTTCATTCTTCTTTTATAATCTATTATAATCTTCTTCTAATTATTAATAATTTGTTTTAAAATCTTATAATTAAAATTAAAGATCATCTACTTAATTTAATAATTATTTATTTCTTTCATCTTAATTTACTAAATTCAAATTATAATATTCTATTTCACTTATTTTTTATCTTAATTCTAATTCTAATCTTTCAATCTCAGCTTTTTAATCAGCAACCTTTTTTCTTAATAAATTATTTTCATCAGTTAATTCTTTATTTCTTTATTCCAATTACATTTATTTTCCTTATAATTTTGTTATCTCCTATTCTTTATCTCTTAATTCATTATTAAGTTTCTCAACTTCATTCTCTAAATTTCCACATTTAGATTACAATTCACTAACTTTAGAATCCTAACTCTAATTTTATGATTATAATCTATTTAATTAATCTTCTAAATCTTAATATCTCTTCTTCAATCTCTCTAAATCTTAATTCAATTATTAATTTTATAATCTCAATTCTGCTATCTTACTTTCATATTCTGTAAATTTAGATCCAGATGCTTAATCACTTTCTCTTAATTTAATTTTATATTCATCTAATTCTTTTTGGGCTGCTAATAATTAAGCTTTCAATCTTTCATATTCATCATCTTTATTTTTTAATAATTGATTTAATCTATCTTATTCTGCTCTTAATGCCTTTTATTTATTATCCCATTCATTTTATTTCAATTCCCATTCCTTTAATTAATCTTCATATTATTTAGCTGAATCACCACTAGATCTTAATTCTAATTCATGATCATCTTGCATTTGTCTCATCTATTATTCTAAGATACCGTATCTTCTTTCCCAATCCAATAATTTTCTATTCAATTCATCATACTTTAACTACCAATCCCTTATATCTGTATCATATTTCAATTTTAAGTTATTGTACAAACTCTCAAACTCTTTCCATTTCCTTTCAGCATCTGCTAATTTCTAAGGTAATGTTTAATCCACTTGTCCATATTTACCTTTAGCATCAGCCAATTCTTACTCCAATGAACGTATCCTCTTATTTAATTCATCAATATCAATTCTATATTATGATTTTACTATTACTTATATTTATTTATCTATTATAATGCTTCTTCATATTATTTCTTTAATTGATTGAATTAATCAATTGTGCCTCCACTACTTTGTTTTAATTCATTAATATATTTAACCAAATCATTGTTCTCTCTCACTAATCTATCATTCTCCAAAGCAAGTAAAAAGCACACCACTTCTGGATTCTTACCGAGCCATTTTCTTTCATTAGAAACGGGTGCTGAAGGTAAAGGTTTTGAAGCACTTGTAGAAACCGCTTATTAGATTTATTGGGTCGTTGTTTGCCCTTAAGGTTGCATAATTGAAGCTCTGCTCTATTATCTTGATGCAGTTCTGCTCATTATTAAAATTAATATAAAAAGATATATATTAAAATTTATTTATATATACTAATTCAAGTCATTGTTAAACAAATAATGCATTCATACAAGTGAGATCTAATAAAAAATTAAGATAATTTAAAAAAATATATTTATTGAAATTAATATAAAGATCGTTTTACATGATCATTCTTTCATAAATTTACTAAATATTCTAATAATCTATAAGAATATCAATAAAGCATTTATTTAATATGATTACATTAATATCCATCCTTATTTTACTTTGAATAATATCAATTATAATTTATTATAGATATATTTTATATTTACTCTAATACATAAATATAAACTATTTCTATAATAAATTTGATTATTCTCTGGTATTTTTAATATATTTTCTCTTTAACATTATTTTTCTTCTTTATAAATGAGTAAATCAAAAGGAAATACTAAGATCTCAACATTTCTATTTAGAATAATTGATCAATTAAACATATTATTTATTAAATAATACTTTTTTATAATTTTAATTATCTTTCTGAATGGCTTAAGAATCTATTAGATTAATAGCAAAATAACTGAATAAAAACAAATTTCTTGTAAAATGTTTCTAATTGAAACTAGATTGCAAAACCTACTACTGATGTGTTTTAATGTGTCTAAGCATTTATTTTATTAGTCAAAGGAGTTAAAACTAAAGATTGGTTATTAGCTTAATTATTAATGAGCTGCAGTTTAAATCAAATGGTGGAAACAATTATAGAAAGAAAGATTGAATATACTAATTTAATTCAATGCAAGAAGCTATTTCATTTAATACCCTAATAATAAAATTCTTTAGGGAAATTAGTATATTAATTAGTAAGTTAAAGTATAAATTATTTGGAAGAAGATAGAAGCAAGTTTCAAAGAAGTAAGAGTACTTAATTGAGAAATGAGTAAAGTTAATATAGGAATTGTTTTAATAAAATTGTTAATTATAATAAAAAAGGTTCGCTTATTAAATGCAAAGAAGATTTAAATAAAATTATACAAAATAGAAAAATACTACATGATTAAAAAATAAAAGAGGATGATCAAAAGAAATTTGAATTATTAAAAGAATAAATGAAAAAATTAAATAAAAATAGTTATTTTATGTCTCCTCGAAAAATCTAATATGATTAATAAGAATAACATATTCTAAGCAATAACAATTCAGAAAGGAAATTAACTAATAATAAATAAATGAGATCACTTAGATCATTTAGATAATCATTTTATGAATGAAAAATAATAATTCGATAAGAAATGAATTTTTTATATTACTAATTATTATTAATATTAAAATAAATGTAATTAGATTATTAAAGAGTTCAAAGAATTACAGATATATACAATTCAACGTTTCAACGTAAATTGTATTATGAATTTTAATTTGCATTTATAGCCATTACAACACTATTAACATTTGGAATAACTAAAATCACTTTGTTAGGCTCTATTGCAATATTAAGAAAATTATTGAAAAAATTATGCAAAACTGAATTCTTTTCATCCAATTAAATGATCTTTAATATGGTCTATGGAATATACTGTTTAGATGCAGTTTATTTGTTTTTGACCAATTTTAGAATTGTCTCCCTGCCATCATAAGTTATTATGTGTTATCAGTAATGATCCTTACAATTAGGTTGGTAATGTATATCTATGTGGGTACCAAAAATCAAAAAGAAAGGCATTTTACATTAGAGAATTCATTGAAAAATATAATGTTTAGAGAAATTGAATTAGCCTACATTTATGCTTTAACCTATCTAGAGTAATCAACATCAATTAATTAAATTATGCTTATATTATGCTTCTTAATATAGTTATTTATATTTTAAATGACAAATTTAATTAATCAAAGAGGGGAATTACTTTAATAAAGAGCAAAAGGTTTAAGTGTCTGGATTAAATTACCATCTAAACCACCTGGAGATTTTGTTAATTGGAATTATACATAAGAAAAGTATCCTCCTAATGTTACTGTCTAATATAATAATAATTATTATAGGTTATAGAACTTATATAATACATCACCACCTGAAGACATTAAAGCTATATTTATACAATTATTATTTTACAACATTTAAAGGACCAAACAAAGATTGTCAATTATCTTGTTTATAGTGTGTGTTTTTGCTGTCTTGATTGATATTGATGCCTTAATGTTCAATCTAGAAATACAATACACAATTATTCCAGATTCCAGAAAATGACTTATCACATAATCAAAATCAATATCCCAAAATTTTAATTATTTATTTTAAAGCCTTCATTTATTTTAATATCTTAATATATTATTATATTTATTAAGTTAAAATTCTACTCTAATTTTAATTTATAATAAAATCCTTCTCTTTAACAATATAAATTATTTAATTATATACCTTTTCTTTGAGATTTACAGTTATGATCTCAAGATAATTATATCTTTTCCTCTTTTTATAAATAAATAAATAGAAGTACTTATATAAATATACAATAAATCACAATCTATTGATTTGAATTGATAAAATTCAAAATATTAAGTGTTAAGTTAACTTCATAATGAGAATATTGAACAATCCTCTTTTTAGAGCTTATTATGAAAATTATTAAATATTAATAAAATTTTGTTATTACCTTTTTGGCAATGCTAAAATATATATATTCATTTTATGTTAAAAATATAACAGTTATCTAAAATGCTAATATATATTATTATATTATAAAATTTAAATTATAATCAACTCAATGCATCATAATGCATCAGAATTGCTTGTAAGATAACAAATTTTTTATTAACAATGATTAATAATTATAATTAAGATGGAAGATATTTGTATAATTTGTTTATAAAATACTTAAAACTTTGTTATTGGGAAAAGCTGTTAATGTAAATATTGTTATAACTGTGTATTTGATTGGTTTGAATAAAATCCAGAAAAACTATTGAAATAAAGCTTTAATTGTTTAAATTATCTATGCAAAGAACCTAATTCAATCCAAGAGTTTCTAAATTCAATTAATGAACAAAAGATATTGGATAGATATAATGATATTACATTTAAAAATTATTTGAAGAGTTGTTAAGATATCCGAGCTTGTCCAAATAAAACTTGCAAATCTTATGGATTTTTACCATCCAGCAGATGTTAAGAATTTTTAGAATGTGAAATATGCAATTACAAATGGTATGATAAGAAATGTTTATCAATAAATAAGATTTGTATGTTATTTTTGAAGAACTTGAAGAATGACTTTTTATGTTTTTTTTCAGAGTTTTATTATACTCATTAATGTCCTAATTGTGATACATAAATTATGAAGAATGGAGGATGCAATCATATGACTTGTAAATCATGTAATCATGAGTATTGCTATATTTGCAGAGATAAACACAATGGTCATGATTCTAAGTTATGTTCTTTAAAAGATAATTCCTTTTGTATAGTGATTGGTTATGTAATCATTTAATTGTTATTTACTCTTGGAATTCACACATTATTAATTTATATTGCGAAACAATTATTTTAGCTAGTTTGCATAATTTTCATTTTTGCTTATGATTTAAATGGAAAATTAATTACTATTTGTACAATGAGTACATTATTAGATATGAAATATCATTATGATATTCATAGAAAAGAGAGTGTTAAATTATATCGTACTTAAACAGAAAAGAAAATTAATTGGAAAATTTTTATAGAATTAATAGCCCTTTTAGTTTTAGATTTAATTGTAATATTAACAACAATATATGAAGATAATATAAATAAAATAGATTCAATTGCTATTTATGTCATATATCCAGTTGAATTCCTATTAATGCTATTTATATGTTTTTGGTATAAGTGATTTTTTAATTTTGTATTACTTATTATTTTTATTATTGTTATTATTATTATTACTATTATGATTATATTGATTTCTTTTATATATATAATTATAATATACTTCAATTAAGTTTAATGGAAATAAATAAATTATAATTTAATTCATTTTAATTTATTAGAATAAATAGGAATTATATTTTAGAATACATATAATTAATTAAAAAGAAATTCAATCATTTTACCTTGAAGCTTTTCTCAAGTTAGCATCTTTTCTTTAAAGTTATTCTAATCTTTCCTTTTCAGTTTAAGCTTTATCCATTTCCCCTTATACCATAAAGATTCTATCTGTTCTTTTGGTGTGATCTGATTCTAGATTAGATTTTAATATTTGCATTGCAAATGGCTTAATAATTCTGGCATCCCAATATCTAACACCATCAAAATCAGCAAATCCCATATAAGATCCAAATAATTTACTTAAAGTTGTTTTACCTCTTTTGATTTCTCCTTCAAAATAATCAGTTGGTTTATTTTTAACTTTTCCTAATTAAACAATACATTTTAAATCTAAATAATAATAAATTAATTTGTTACTATTAGCATCATCAATAAATTAAAGAGATCCTTGTGATTCATTTTTCATTGTTCCTAAGAAAGTACCAGAGTAATGTTCTGATGAGAATGTACATTAAATTTTTTAATCATTAAATTGTATGGTTCTTTTTCCATGATTCAATATAGTTAGAGAATTGAATCCTGCCTTTGCTTCATAAAGGGAATATCCATAAAATTTATATGACTTTTTTGGTCCATAAACTAAGAAATAAGAGAGTGGAGGATGATGTGATATCTAATAGATTGAAATTAAATAAATACTTATTCACAAAATAATTATGTACCATCTTCATATCCTCCCTCAAAAGTTTCTCCTAAAATAGGATTAAGAGGTTTTAGAAATGAGTTAGCTTATATATAATTAGAAAGTAATCCAATAATAGAGAGTTTCATTCTTTCAAGTGGATCTTATATGGATGCAGCCTTATTCATATATAATGGAAAGAGTATAGTTTACATAAAGGTTTTCTCTAAGGCAGATTTTGGAATCATAGCTTTAATCTATATAAATTGATAAAATATTATATTACTGGAAAGGATACTTATGTAAGATTGAAATTACCACTTAATAATTTCTAACCTACTTATTTAATCATATTTTTTCCAACACTTCTTGCTAATTCAATAATCTTTTTATCTTAACAAGCTGTTCCTCCACTTTTATGAGCAATACTAACTCTATATTCATCTTTATAATCAATCTTTTTAAAATTAACTGCATAATTCATTATAGAATTATAATCTCTATATGGACTATGTTCAGATGCTTCAAAAACTATTGAGAATTTAACTAAATCAATTTCATCTGAATCATTATCTTATTCTTATGCTTTACATTAAAGTATTTAAGATTATTCTATTTATTATTATTATTATTATTATTATTATTATTATTATTATTATTATTATTATTATTATTATTATTCATCCTTTCCATTTTATTATTCTTACTAAAATAAATTTTATTTAACTTAATCAATACTTTCAATATTATTAAAACATCCAGTTTAAAATTCAGTAATAAATTCTAATTTAGGTGGTGTAATATTAGGAAATTAATTTATATTTTGATCTGATTTATGCATATGTATTTTTATACTTTTAGCAATTTAAACACCTTAACCTTAATTTTCATCATTGACATCTTCTGTTATTATAGATACCTATCTTTTATTACATCTAGGTGAAGCAAAATTATTAAAATTGATTTATTTTTGTTATTTATTAACAATAATAAATTCTTTAGTTTCATCTTCATTATTGTTTATCATCTTATATTCTTTTTTATAGAATTCTAAAGTTGTATTTGATAATAATTTATCAGCATCTAAATCATTTTCATCATCAATATATTAAGATGTAAACATAGATCCTTATACTAAATCATAATCTGAAATATTAAGATGAGCATTATGTATATATATTTTAACATTTTCATTTTATGCAATTTCTACATAATGATTATCTTTAACTTCATTCATATCAGTTCTTAATTTTAATAATTAACCTCTACCTGATGGTTATATTTGTTTTTTACTAAATTTTACTAATTTAAAGACTCCCTACAGAAGTATTTTAGGACTAAAGATTAAATTAGATTTATTACTTACTTTAAATTATCAAATAAAATAATATCGATTGTCTATGTAAATGGATTAAAGATAATTCCTAAAAGATTTTAGGTTCTATAAAATGAACCTATAATTCCACCTAATAACTCAATATTGCTTATTAATAAATTTAAGCCTTAATCTTAATTCATTAATAAATATTTATTATTATTTGTTTTTGACCAATCATTCAAAGATACAAATATACCAGTAGTTAATTTAAATTCTTCATCATTTACCTTTATTAATCCAACTCCAAGCAATGCAAAAAATGAATTCACTGTTTAAATCTTAGAAGAAAAACAAATTTACAAATAACCAACAATCTTATCATAATTCTCATTTTCATCAATGACTAATTTGAAAATTCTTCCTTTTGCTGTTCTAACATATATTATTAACTAATCTCAATTATTCATATATACCTTCTAATTTTGAACATATTCATAATTCTTCTTCTTCTTCAAACTGTTCTCAAATCGATTAATTTCTGATTCATCTTTAACAAAATCCCCTTTGTTTAATGAATAGTAATTATTGTAAGAAGAAGATGTCTGTGTTTTATAACACAATAATCTTCCCTTTTTCAAATTGAAACAGAAATAGTAGTTATATAATGTACCCCATTTTTTATAAGAAACTGCTCCTAATTTTCTGTCAATCTTGATTTACTAAACCAATAAATAAAAATTATATACTTGCTTAGAAGTTTACTATTTATTTTCTTCATCATCTTCTAACTCATAGATCACATGATTTCCTTATTGCATAATAATTATATATATAATATATATTTAAATTATGAATAATTTGTTGAATTTTCAAACACATTAGTAAGCTTGATAAAATCAATAGCATTTATTTAATTAATCTGATTTAAGAATCATCAGTCCATATTTATGGTAGGAATTAAAAGTTTATATTGAAAACTTAATAATTTAAACATATAATCATCAAATATAGATTAAATTTATTACTAAAATAGACATTAAGTTTATACCATTAAAATAATTAGAAAATATAAAACCATATTAATTCCAAATTATATTAAGTAAAATCAAAGTATGATATTAATGTAATAAACTTTAAAGTCTATATTGATTTATGAATATCGATCCAAGTTTATTTTTATAAAATAATTCAAAAATATTTAGAAATTTTAAATTCATATTATCAAAGTATAACTATTATAAATAAATTCATGTTTTCATATTATTTGCTATAATCGTAATCATATTATTTACGTTTAAGTTATTTAAATCTTTTAAATTTGAATATTAAATATAAATATGGATAAAATATATAATGATCATATATTTTAATACTAATTTACTTATTTGTAATGATTAAATATTCATCTTTTAATCTTCTATTTAAATTAGATTCTAAATCACTTGATCAAATTGTAAAAAATCATTATAAATGATTTTGAATTTGATTAATCTTAATAAGAATAATATTCATAATGAATTATATTTAATGATTTTTATATTATTTATTATTGAAGTCTACTCTTTGCAATTTTAATCCTTGTATAGAATTTGAATATTTAGTGTACATATAATTCCTCATCCAGATAAAGTAGCAAAAGGAGGAGAAGATGCCTATTATGCTAATGAAAATTTATTAGCTGTAGCAGATGGTGTGGGAGGTTGGAATAATCATGGAGTTGATCCATCTAAATATTCAAAAACACTTTGTGAAAAGTATAGATTAAGTTTAATATAAGCATTAAAGAATATTCTCATTTAGAGAATCCAAAATAAATTATGCAGATTGCTTCAGAATTAACTAATCATATTTTAGGAAGCAGTACATTGGTTATTATGAAGTTAATTGATAATGTTCTAAAAGTAGCTAATATTGGAGACTGTGGATATACAATAATAAGAAATCAAGAAATATTACATTAATCAGAAGAGTAATAACATTCATTTAATTTCCCTTTTTAATTGGGATCATAGGGAGATAGTGCATAATTAGCCTAAGAATTTGAACATGTTTTATAAATAAATGATATTCTAATAGTAGGTTCAGATGGATTATATGATAATCTTGATCAGAATTAAATCTTGAATCTAATCAATGAATATGGAGTTAGTTAAAAATCCGCTTAACTATTGGCAAAAACATCTTTCTAATATTCCTTAGATAAAACATATAATTCTCCTTTTGCTTAAAGAGCTCAAAAATCAAGAATTAGATTTATTGGAGGTAAAAGTGATGATATTACAGTAATTGTTGCAAGAATCATCAATAATAATGAATTATGAATATCATTTATTAATTCTATATAAAATCATTATTTATTTTGATTATTTGATGTATATATTCTTAATTATGAATTATATTCTAATTTTTGATAAAAACTATTTATGAATCAGATTATGAATTTAATTTTAAAATATTAATGAAAAATTGAATAAATAATAATCATTTTTATTCTCTCATACATATTATTTATTAAAATTACGTTCAAAAATTAAGCAAAAAGTTGAAGGAAAATCAAAAGTTTATTATAACTTATTAAGTAATTTCAACTTATAATCTAAATTAAATTCCTCATCAAGAATTTACTATAATAATAAATATATATTAATTACATCTAATTCATTCTATTATATTTAATCAATTTAATTATTATTTGATATCATACATTTACATTAAATTAGATCACTTATTTGCATGATATCAGAATTTTATGTTCCAAATAAACCAAAATGAGTCTTTTTGAAAATAGCTTCCAGAAATGAAATGCTAAATGATACATTAGATTCATGTGAAGATGAAATTGCTAATGAGTCACATAAAATTAATGAGTCATGTAATTCAGAAACTAATAAATTATTTAATGATTAAATTTCAGCAGTAAATGAAGATTATCTCTCTGCTAAATTTTAAATAGTATATTTCTGAAAATGAGTATATATACAACTTAATAATTATTATTTGAATTGTGAACAAGGGAGTGTACATCCTATTTATGAGAGTATAATGAATTATCCTATCAATTTTAATTATTCTGATAAACATTCTTTGTAATCATAAATGATATTAAATTAATTGAATGAAATTGTTAACTTATTAAATGTATCATGAGAATTAACAGAGTATAAGTATGATGCATCCTTAATAATAAATTAATTATGATCAAATTAGGGGAATATCATCTATTATTTATTTGATACATTTTAGATTGTATAATCTCTAATACATAATGCTATATCAAATTAACTAATTAAACAATTAAGAGAAAATATCCAAGAACAAAATTTCTACATCTATTCATACAAATTATTAACTTAAAGTTATGTTTCAGATAATATATTCATTATACAATCATTTAATTTATTATTTAAATCTTTAAGTTTCTCAGTTAGAATACTATATTTTTTATTATTTTTATCAATAAAAGATATTGAATCATTCTCTTTTTCTACTATTCTTTTAATATCTAATTCATTTATATTATTTCTATTTGCTTCATTTACAGATAATTCAAAAATGTATCCACTTTTAAGACATTTAATTGAATTATCATTTGTCTTAAGCTTCTTACATTTCAAATTTAGACAAAAACAAGACATCAATCTTTAAAATAGATTATTTATTTCTTATCTTAATGAAATAAATTATAATCGATTTTATTTTAAATTATTTGATTTCTCATTTAACATTATAAAAAATAGAGTATCTTCTTCTATATTATTTAATTATAAAGTCACATCAATATATTATTCTATTTATTATTTAATATTTTAAAATTCATCACTCATTAATATACCATTAATATCTATATCCATTATATTATTTAATTTTTAATCATTTAAATAATGTGTAAAATTGATAATGTCTTTTTGAAAATTATATATCTTAAATATTTATTATAATTGATCCTATAATTTAGTACTTTTACTTTATAATTGACAAGCCAAAGTATCAACTTATTTGAATTTCATCATATGTGATTTTAAAGTTTGAATAGTAGAATCATCTTTACTTAGCATTTCTTTTACATTTTATTATCTAATGTGAATCATTTATATAGTGCTAAATGGTTAAAGTAAATTTGCTTTAAGTAATCTTTTACCTCCATTTGTAATTGGTTTAAAGAGTTTATATAATTAATTTAAGATATCTAAACTCAAAGTTGTTTAAATATTGAACACTAAGACTTCCTTAATGTTATAGAATTGAACTGGTAAATTGTTTATGAGAATATTTAAATGTTGATTGACTGTATAAGATAATGCAGCATAACATAATTAAAGTTAATTTAATTATTTTACAAATTTACTAAATTGATTTAGTTCGAATTTAATTTACAATACATTTAGTGGTAAAAAGTAGATTAAAGTATCATTCAATTCATCTTCTAATTATTTAAAAAACATGCTTTTTTCATTATTTTCAATAGATATTAAGATTTTAGGAGCAAATCTTAATATAGTAGATGAAGTAATATTAAAAGTTGTACAATCTAAAAATTATGTAACAAAAACTTCTCCAGTTTATTCATTATATGCACAAATACTTACACACATTTATTATTCTATAACTGCTAAGTAGAACTCTTGATTAGCTTCTATTGATTTAATACAAGTTGATCTAATAGGATTAGATTTCTTGTAAATACTTTAACTCTTCATTAATTTATTTAACTCATTGTTTTAGTTATTTATATAAAATATGTAAGAAATTAAAACTATTCTGCAGAGTGAAATAAGAAATCATGATTAAATACAAGAATTAGAAGAATACTTTTATAAACAATTTGATTATATTCGCAACTTGAAATCTAAATTAGATCCTCAATTATATATGATGCTCTTTGAATAAATCAAATATGAAAAATTTCCACCTCTTACACCTATTTTTGAAGCAGGTGATATAGGCAGAAGAATGTATTTTATAATCGACGGTACAGTAGGCATATTCAAACCCAAAAATGCTGATGCAAAACCACATCCTGGCAAATATCATACATTTCAAGAGATTACTGAAAGAAGATATTTCTAATATTAATTTGTTAACATTTTAAAAGCAGGAACATATTTTGGAGAAGTTGCATTACATTAAAAAGGACCTAGAAATGCTTCTATTTGTTCTATTACAAAATTAGAATTAGCAGTTATTACTTATGACACTTATTAAAAGATTTTATCATTAGCAGGCTAACAATAGAATGACTATAAATTCAATTTTCTTAAATCTATCTCCCTTTTTGAAGGTTGGAAAGATAGTGCTTTATTAGCCATGTTAATGAATTGTGAAGAACAATATTATTCTCCTTTTACTTATATTTTTAAATAAAATTAACCAATTGATTTTGTATACTTTATAGTCACTGGAGAAGTTAAATTGAAAGTATTCAGAAGAATAGATGAACCTGGTGAATCAAAAACTTAAATCAATAAAATTGATGGAATCACTCATCTTACTACTAATCAATATTTTGGTGATATGGAATTATATTATGAAGATTGTCCTAATTAATTAAGAAATTCTGAAGCTTAAACTTAATCTTCTTGCAAATTATTAAAAATTTGTGCTCGTTAATTTATTGACAATTATAGACTATTTTCAACTATCTCTAAACCAAGAGCTATATCATAAAGATAATTACATCATCGCAGTTCAATGTAAAAAATTAGAGATAAAGTTATATCCCAAAAAATCAATCTATAAATGATTAAAGTTTAAGATGCTCCAAAACAAATAGAAGAATTTCACTTTTAACCAATTATTCCATAAATTCCAATCAGATTTAAGGTTAAATTTGGTTAAGTTCAATCTTAAGATTATTTATCCTAAAGATCATTATTATCTAATGATCTATTAAACCCAGATAGATTACGTTAGACTTTTGGTTATGTTCCTATGAAATGTGTAGATTCGACTTTTATTAATTATGTTAAATAAATGAGAATTTCTAAAAAATCCCCATAAAGAAAGAGAACATATAGTATTAAATGAAATTAATAGTTTGATTATAATTTTGATATATTAATCGATTTTTAATATTTTAAAATCTCTTTTATGTGAATTTATCAAATATATTTAGCAACTAATTCCAATTTTGATAAGATTATTACTTTCAATAAATCTAGAATCTGAATATAACAGAATTTCTTTTGAATTTATTTAACTATTATAAATTCTGATTCATTTTATAGGTCAGGAAATAATTAAGAGATTTATAAAGGACAATATAAAGGACAACTCTATTATATATATTCATCCCTTTTTAGAATTTGAGCTACTTTATTCAGGTTTATGTAGACTTTTATTATTAATTGATTTACGTTGATTTTGAAATTAATTGAATTAATTAAAAACATTTGAAAATGATTAATGAATATTTATTATTAATAAATATATATATTACAAAGTTCAATTATAAATAGAATTCCATCTATAATATAATTTAATATAGAATTTAGTTAGATAATAATATTAAATTTAAGTATATTTTTATTAATATAATTCAATATTGGTTCAATTATAGAGTTAACCATTTAGTAGATAAATTACATTTGAATTTCAAGTCTAATTTAATTATATAATTAATATAGAAAAATGTTATTACAATGCAATGAATCATTAAATTTAATACGTAATATAAAAAAGATGTCATTTTGAACTTGATTATTTTTCGATCATTGCAATTTATCTTAAAATGACGTAATTAAGAGTAAAGGTAAATATTTGGAGTATAACTTTTATAAAATTAAACTTTATGAAAGTAAAACCTTTTGAAGAACAATTGTTATGCGATGTTGATTTTTACTAAGTGCAATTTATAATGCCTAAATTCATATAAGAAGAAGGCATCATTAAATAAATAGTTCCATATAAATCTCCATCTTGGAAGTAAATTATCTATTGGTTTTTTTGTTTCATATCAAGTAATCATAATAATTCATTATTTAGTTGGTTTAGCATATTTATTTTCAAGATGGGAATAAAAATTTAATATATGGTTAAAATTTCAAAAGTGCTTATTAGAAGAAGCAACTCATTTGCTCATTTACTCTGCCTTAGATGAAATAGAACTTGTAAGAATAGAGGAGAAACAGATATAGAAAAATGAGAAGCAGTTAAAAATGAAGATTTTTAGTTATAGACTCTACTCTTACTTCTTGGAAGATGGAGTGTTCAAACCTATTGAAACTTCTTTTTATAAATTATAGCATAAAGATATTATAAAGCAATTTTGTAAAGGGTTAACAAATCCCTAAGAAATAGCATAATTATATGGATATAATAACACAACCATCCCTGATAAATCTACTATTAAAATATTAATAGATGAAGTGCTATCCCCATTTTACTTATTTCAAGCATTTAGCGTTACTTTATGGTTAATAGAGTCATACACATATTATGCTATTGTAATACTTCTATCTTCATTAATATCTATTATCATCAGTTTAAGAGAAACAAAGAACAATTTCAAAAGACTTCGAGAGATGTCTGCATAAAATACAACTGAAAATTTATTTAGAAAATAAAATGCAATAAGAATAGAAAATGAATCTCTCATTATTCCTTATGATCTAATTTCAATGAAAGAAAAATATAATTCAAATGAGATTGTTCCTGGTGATCTAATAGAAGTACAGAATGACTGGACAGTTCCATGTGATTGTATATTATTGAATGGATCAGCCATTGTAAACGAATCTATGTTAACAGGTGAATCAATACCAATCATCAAAACTTAATTACCATACAATAGTAATATGTACAATCCACAGGAAGATTCAAAAACATTTACTTTATATGCAGGAACAAAATGTATTGAGGCCAGACATCCTGAAAAAGGGAAGATCCCTGTCTTGGCCCTTGCTACTTAAACTGGATTCTCAACAATAAAAGGAGAGTTAGTTAGATCAATCTTATATCCAAAACCAGTTACTTTTTCATTTTATAAAGATTCCCTATTATTTTTAGTAGTTTTAGCAATAATGGCATTTATTGGATGGCTTATTGCATTACCAAACACAATAGAAGGTATTAAAAATGGAGAAATGACCATTTTTTGGTTTATCATAAATTCCTTTGATTTAGTTACAATTACAGTGCCACCAGCTCTGCCTACATGTTTATCGATTGGAGTATCTTTCGCTTTAGCAAGATTGTAAAAGAAAAAGATTTATTGCATCTCTCCTAACAAAGTTAATGTTGCAGGGAAGATAACAATAATGTGCTTTGACAAAACTGGTACTTTAACAGAAGATGGCCTAGATCTATATGGAGTTAGAGCTATTGGATATAGTGAAAGTATAATTAAATCTAAAAATGATAGAAAAACAGAAACTCAAATTTGATGACTTAATAATAAATATAAGTGATCTAAATGTCCAAGAGAAGTTGCTTGATGATTCTAATGTAGCATTTAATGAATTAAAGAGAACACCAAAGTAAGTGTTATTTGAAATAATGGCATCATGTCATAGTTTAGCAACTGTTAAAAATAATTTAATTGGAGATCCTCTTGAAATTAAGATGTTTGAAGCTACTTAATATAAATTAGATGATATAAATTCTTAGGTTTATTCTTAAGAGGGTAGCTAAATAAAAATACTAAAAAGATTTGAATTTTCATCAACTCTATAAAGAATGAGTGTGATTATAGAAAAAGATGGAGAATTGAAAGCATATGTCAAAGGATCACCTGAAAAGTTAAGGGAATTATGTAAGAAGCAAAGTGTACCTTCTAGTTTTCATAAAATTTTGGATTTCTATTCAAAGTTAGGCTTTAGAATATTAGCATGTGGAGCAAAAACTTTAACAAAGGAAACAAATCGTGATGATGTGGAATCAAATCTTACTTTTATTGGATTATTAATTATGTAGAATAAATTGAAATCAGCAACAAAGAAGATTATATAAACACTTTAGGATGGATTTATTAGAACAATTATGGTCACAGGAGATAATGTTTTAACAGCTATTTCAGTTGCCAGATAATGTTCAATTGTTTAACCTAACTAAAGAATATTTTTAGGAGATATTGGTGAAGAGAAAATAAATGGAAAAAATTAGATTGTTTGGAAGGATTTTGATATGAGTGAAAATGTACTTAATCCAGAAAATCTATCACCTGAATTAGATATTTAAGATGATCCTGATAATTAAGAAGATGAAAATGATATAATTTGGAATTAATTATCAATGAAAGAAAAATAATCTTTAGAAAATGCTTTAAATGAAGATATGAATTAAATTATTGAATAAGAAGATCTAGAGGATTATCATTAAACTTCTTATGATAGAAAATCAATTTCTAGAAGATCTTAATAATTATAAAAAAGCAAAATCCAATCTTATAAAGATAAAGAGAAACAATTAATACTAGAAAATTTAGATCATTTAATTGATGATTAAGATCCTTGGAAAACAAATGAACCATTCGTTATTGCTATTTCAGGAAAAGCATTTTAATTATTGACAAAATAAATTGATACTAATCCAGCAGCTAGAAAGGTTTTTGGTAAACTCTTAGAAAGAGCATAAATATTTGCAAGAATGAAACCTGAACAAAAAGCTTAATTAATTACTCATCTCCAAAAAATAAGTAAAAAGGCCTTATGCGGAATGTGTGGAGATGGAGCCAATGATTGTGGAGCTTTAAAAGCTGCTGATGTTGGCATATCTCTATCTGAAGCTGAAGCATCGATTGCTGCTCCATTTACTTCAAAAATATAAGACATTTCTTGTGTTGTAAAATTATTGAGAGAAGGTAGAGCTTCATTGGTTACAAGTTTTCAATGCTTTAAATATATGGCATTGTATAGTATGATATAATTTATCACTTGCACTTTGCTTTATTTAATTTTAGCTAAGATCTCTGACTTTTAGTTTCTCTATATTGATTTGGTTTTAATTATACCTTTAGCTTTTACTATGGGTAAGACTAAAGCATATAAACAATTAACATAATTTTAACCAGGCTCAAATTTACTCTCATTTCCTGTTTTGATGTCTGTTATTGGACAAACAATTATCTAATTATCATTCTAATGTATCGTTTATTTTACTTTACGCACATAGAATTGGTATGTGAGTAACTTTGTCATTCATGAAGGCAATACTAATGATCATTATGCTATGATGATCAACTATGAAAATACTGTAATTTATTTAATTATTTAATTTAGAGTCTCTTCTTATATTCAAGTTTCTAATATATTTTTTAATGTATCGCATTCTCAATTGGAAAACCATTTAGAAGAGAATTTTATACAAATTTAGGATTTACTTCTGTTTTAGTCATACTATTTGTAATTAATTTTTATGTATTTTTCTTTTCACAACATCCTCAATTTTTAGCTGATGATATATTTAAGGTATACTATACAAATCAATATATTTTAGTTGATTTTTACTTTCCAAGATAGCTAAATGCCTTAGAAATGGTTGATTGCAATGTTCATCTTAATGATAATTAATATGATAATAACTATACTATTTGAAAAATATGCTGTTCCAATAACTACAAGATATTATAGAGCAAAAAAGAGATAAATAGTTAAAAGATATCGTTTTCCTGAAAATCCTTATCTAAGAGATTGAATTTCTCATTTTTTGTTTCATATTTTAATATTTTATAATTCATTTAATAAAATCTTATATTCGATTGGTATTGCTTGATTATATTGTTCTTTCTTTATGGGCTATTATAATTTATAGATTATATGAAATATATGAATAATTTAATTATTATGATTCAATCGTTTTAAGAATATTTAATGCTACAAATTTATTATTTAGTAATTAAAGTCATCTCTAAAAAGTAACTCTAATCTTATCATTTCAACATTTTATAATAATAAATTTTTGCCTTACAGAAACTTACAAATTTCTATTATTTTAATTTCTATTATTTTTAATTTCCATTTTTAATTAGTTCTATTATTATATTTATGTTGATTTCTATCATTTATCTCCTTGTTGCTTTGTTTGATTTTTCGAAATCATAATGGATTGCACCCATAGAACTCCTAGATGAGGATGAATAATTTACTCAACACACTGGGTATTAATTATGGTCATCTGGATACTTTTTATCGCCATCAGGATCAGATACTGCAAATTTTGTCACATGTACAGCTCCTCTTACAAGCTACATCAATTTGGATAGCACACATTTATCTACTAAAAGTTACTGGCCTTACAGTTTCATGAATGGAGATTGGATGTCTATGGATTTATATTTTGAAGGTATATGGCTATCTAAGACTGTTTAATTTAAGATAGGATCTTTTTAATATTCATATACTTACACTGCCCCTACAAATTATCCAATTTCAACTGGATTTTGTAATAACCGTCCTTTTGAAGTAAAAACTTTAAATTTTTCAATCTCATTGGCAAATTAAATTTCTGATTATATGATATTTACATCCTCTAATACAAATTAAGGATAGGTTTCACTTAGAAATGTTATTTAATCAAGGCTAAATATTATCTGCTACCCATCATGTATTTTATGCACAGGGCCTTAATTTAATCAATGCACTAGTTGCTATTATGGATCACCAACAAACAACATTTGTCCCCCCTGTCCACTTAATTATTATTATATGAAATATTTAGCATGCAAAGAAATTTGTGATATAACACATTCTTTATATTCTAAGGGATTTTGTTAATATTTTAGTAGTAAAAAAGATTAATTAAATTTGTAGATTACATGTTAGAATCAGCATCTGTTTCTTCGAATCTTACCTCACCTGAAAATTTGAATTGGTTTTTAATATATGACCCACAACATATAGATCCATCTGCAACAATAATACTTAGTAAATCAATATATGGAATCTTTAAGTTTAATTCAGGTTTCTATAGATACTTTAAAAGGATATAGTCTTCTTATCCAAATTACTAAATTGGATTGAAAATTAAAATTGTAACTTTTAACGAAATTCCAATAAATTGTGGAATATAGTTTATGATTAATAATACTATTTTTGGATCTATTTATAGAAGTGCCTCTGGTATTCAAACTAATAAATTAATAATCTATAATATTGAACTTGAGAGTGTATATTTAACATATTCCTCAAATAAGAAATATGATTTAATTACATATGTTGACATTCCTAGATACCCATTTTTATTTTCAGCAACAGGAAATTATACGTATATATAAATTTATTTAGATTAGTGATGATACAGCAGGATGGGCAATAGCTTCGATCTAGGTTACAACAGGATATTGTCATGAAGATTGTACTTAGTGTGAAGTATCATTTAAATGTAAGAAATGTTATTATGGATATTATTTTTATCGAGATGGTAGTTGCATAAGTAGTTGCCAATCTCCATATTAGAAATTAAATGGTTCTTATTGTTAAGATTACGATGATGAAACACCTTGTATCTTATTATTATAATATTTAGACTCTTACTATTTGATTAAAGAATATATAAATGCTGCCAACGACCCTGGATAATATTCAAAATATACTTTAATCTCTTAAAGTGGAACAAACTTTTTAAAAGGATCAGATATCTATTATTCATATATTTAAGGAATTAGAGTCTTTGGAGGACCTTTTGTATGGGCCTAAGCTAAATTCTAAAGAGTTCATAATATAATATCTCCACATCATAGTGTCACTATTGCATTTTATATACTTTACGGTCCAGCATTCCCTTCAGATGGGAATTTTATATATACAATTGAAAATAATACACCAGTTTCTAAATCAAGTGTAGATAGTTCATTGAATTATGATGGGTCAAAATACTATAAAGTTTATGAAAAAATCAATCATAATTCAAATACATTAACACTGACTTGGGAATGCTTAGGTCCAAATAATGAACCTGTTAAAGCCTATTGTGGATTCTATAATTATTATATTGCTGTCCATGATTGCAAACCTTATTGTTTGTAATGTACCGATTCAACTACATGTACTTCATGGAACAGCACATATGATGCTAATATTGTTAGATTTTCTTAATCAGAATGCTTAGTTAATTAATATTATGATAAGGATTCTATTAGATGTTTAGATTGTCCATTATCTTGTTTAACATGCACATCTAAAATAGATTGCTAAACATGCTAACCAACTTATATATAAACTAAATTAGGATGTATTTGCAAAATTAATCAATATGAAGAATCAAATCAATGTTTTGATTGTCCTATTGAATGCAATTAATGCTTAAGTTCTACTTATTGTATAGAATGTTTAAATAGTAATTTTAGACAATTATCAAATGGGTAATGTAATTGTATGGATGGGTTTTATCCAATTGTATCAAACCCTTAGTGTTAGCTATGTCATTAATTTTGTAAAACTTGTATTGGACCTAATTCTGATTAATGTTTAACTTGCAATGATATTGTTAATATTGAAAATGTGGGATCAACATGTAGATGTCCAACAGGGTCATCTTATTAAGAAGAAATAAAAACTTGTTCATCTTGTCATTCATCATGCTTAAGTTGCTTTAGAACAACAATTGATGGTTGTTTAACATGTGATCTAAGTTTAAATAGAATATTAAAAGGGTTAAAATGTGTATGTGCACCTGGTTATTATGAATTAAGTAATATTTGTACAAGTATATATAATAATGATAATTATAGATTGTCCAAATACTGAAGATGCATCTTTAAGTCAATGTTATAAATAATGTAATAATAATTAATAAATATGGCATACTATTACTTGTACTTCTTGTGATTCTGGATTTAATTTAGTCTATGGAGAATGTCAACCCATTTGTGGAGATTCATAAATAAAAGGATATGAATAATGTGAAGATAATAATACAATTCTTGATGATAAATGCTATAATTGTTAATTTTAATGTCCAGCTCATTGTTTAACTTGTGATTAATCAACTACTTTACCTTGTCCTGATATTTGTGGAGATGGAATTATTACAGGAAATGAAGAATGCGAAGATGGAAATAATATTTAATATGATGGATGTTTTAATTGTAAATATTAATGTTAAACTTCATGTACAAA